CGCTGAGCAGGGAGCCCGATGCGGGACTCGATCCAGGGACTCCAGGATCATGACCTGAGCCGAAGTCAGCCGCTTAACCAACTGAGCCACCTAGGCGCCCCTACATAACATTTTTTTTAAAGTAAACTCCACTCCCAACGTGGGGTTCAGGAACTCAGGACCCGGAGATCAAGAGTAGCTGGCTCTACTGACTGATCTAGCCAAGTGCCCATACTTATATTTTTTTAAAATGTAGTCAGATGAGTACCTTTTCCTTCATGATTCCCCAGTTTCCTGTCCCTCTTGCTTAATAAATTATTTCTTATCCCTTTATTCCAAGGGGTGTGTTCTAAGTCTCCTTCTAATATTTTTATCATTTTATTCTCAGCAGTTAACCATCTCATCTAGTTGGAATTCACTGTTCTGTGTGACGTGAGGTGGAAGGCAAGAGCCTCTGTAGACAGGGCCCTCCCTGGTGGGAGCCTCAGCTTCCTGTCTTCCAGCCGAGGCCCTGCCAGGTGGGTCCTAGGCTTCTTCCCACTGCAAATGCTCTGGTACTGAGCACAGGTCTCCTGACACCAGCCCAGGGCACCAGGTCCATCTATAAGTTTACCAGCCCCCAGACACAGCACTGGGATGGGGCGTGTCTGCCACCTCCCCTCCTACCTGGTGGGGAACTTGAGGCACAGGAGTCTCACACTGAAGTGACACACTCAAGGGAAGCACCTGAGTGAGGAGGGCTAGCGGGGGACCTGAGCCCAGCCCAGGGTAGGAACAGTTTTCCAGTGCTCAGCGCTGACCACAGCTGCTGTCCCAGCATGACTCTGGCTCAGCAGTGCACTAAAATCGAAGCTCAGCAAAATCCCACAATTGACCTCTGTCCCTTTAAATTGAGACTGGCCAGCAGCCCCGGGATTCCTCTGCGGCCAAGGGTGAGGAGGGCCCAGCCTAGATCCCAAAGGAACAAAGGGTTTCTTAATGGCTTCACACCTTGGCCTCCACTCTCCACCCTTTTCCAGCTTTCTGTGGTCTTGGGCTGGGCTGGGTCAGTGTCTGCCCCCTTCCCTTCTGTAAACTCTCAACAAACAACCCCCAGTCCCTTCCCAAGCAGGACAAAATTCAAAAGACACCCACAGGTAAAGTCCCTCCTTCCAATCCTAGGCCAGCGGGTTCCCTCCCCCAGAGTCAATCAGCATAACCTGCTGCTGGATGCATCCAGTCATTTTACGTCTTTGGTGCATGCAAATACAATTTTTAAAAATCTTGGGCGCCTGGGTGGCTCAGTTGGTTAAGCGACTGCCTTCGGCTCAGGTCATGATCCTGGAGTCCCGGGAT